AAAATCTGCTTTTTCCTTCCACTTAATAATTTCATAAGCAACATAGGCATAAAAATATATATAATAGTTATTAAATATACTATAATCTATGAAATTTGCTATTGATAGATATGTAATATTTTGATATTATGGTCCTATGGTCTGAGTAGTATGTCCCCCCAAATTCTGGCATTGAAAACTTGATCCCAAATAGTGTTGGAAAGTGCCAACTATGGAGAGATGTTTAGATCATGAAGGCTTCCACTCTCATGAATAGACTAAAGCTGTTATAAAAAAGGGCTTGTAAGAGAAGAATAATATTCTTCTGCCATTCTGTCATGTGAGGACAAGCATTCCTTATCTCTAGAGGATACAGCTTTCAAGGCACCATTTGAGAAGCAGAGATTGGACCCTAGTCTGCTAGTTCCTTGATCTTGAACTTCTCAGCCTCCAGAACTGTGAGAAATATATTTCTGTTTTTATAAATTACCATAAATTACCCAGCCTGTGATATTTGTTAGGACAGCACAAAACAGACCAAAATATATGGTAATATAATTTGACAGTTGAAGAAACTAATGCCCAAATAGACAAAAATACCTAAATCTAGTCACATAGGCAATTAAGATTAGAGGTAGGGCAAGAAACTCATATCTCAATTTTCCATATCACCATATTGACTCACTCTTCTCCTCAAGTAAAGAAAGCTAAGGCCATAGGAAGATGAGGAGAAGAAATTTTTCCTTTGCTCTATTTCTTATTTAACGCAGAGGAGATTTTGTTCTATTATAGAACAGTTGGGATAGATGCTCCTTGCTGTGAACTAGTTTCCTCTCTGTTTAACATACTGTAAGCTTCTGGCTACAGAATATATTTCTTTTTCTCCAATTAGTTGCCCTAGCACATATATAATCCCAGAACACTCAATAGTCTAACATTTAATATCCCTTTGGATATAATAAAACAATTGCAAGTGATTATTTTTATCTTTATCTGTTGAAAACAGTAAAGCTCACCAAGGTAAGCAATGCATAAACATTTCAGGAATAATAAGCTTTGACTTTTAAAAACTGTACCTAAGAGTACAAACAGCTTATTGTCTTCTTTTTAAAATGAAAAAGAAGGGATAAATTGGAAGTGTGGCTGCAAAATACAAAAATACATTCACATTAGAAATGCAGTTAATAATGTGAATAGTTTGCCCAAACAATATCAATATATAATCTAAAATAAAAATTATTATTTTGTTTCTTACTATATTTATGCTTTGTTAAATCTACCCACCCAGCAATAAAAAAGAATTAAACCAATGTAATAATTTTGAAATCATAGGGTAGAAAAGAATAATTTTTGAAATGTGCATTTAATGCTTGAAAAAAATATATAATAGAACTCTCTAGTTGTCCATAACTGGACTTGCTAATACTAAACAGTCATGAGCACAAGGAGTATGTGCTATGTACTGAATTGTCCCTCCAACTCTACAGTTCGTACATTGAACCCCTGACTCCCACTGTGATGATATTTGGAGATAGGACCTTTGGGAGATGATGAGAGTTTAGATGAGGCCATGAGGTGGGGCCCTTATGATAGGATTGGTATCTTTAGAAGAAGAGACATCAGAGAGCGTGCATGATCTCTTTGTCTCACTCTTCTCTTTCTTTCTCTCTCTTCTCTCCCCCTCTCTCTCTCCCTAAGTATATGCACAAAGGAAAGATCATGTGAACACATAATGAAAAGAAAGCCATCTGCAAGCCAGGAGGAGAGCCCTCACCGCAATCCAATCACTCTGGCACTCCAATCTCAGACTTCCAGCCTCCAGAACTCTGACAAATAAGCTTTAGTTCTTTAAGCCACCCAGTCTATGTTATTTTGTTATTGTAGCCTGAGCAGATAAACATAGTGTACAGATAGTTACATATTTAATAGCCCAAGGAAAAGTGAGTCCCTTATGTAGGAGTTTTGTTTTTTCCTGGGTATTATCTATAAGTAGATGTTTTTTTCTATAACATACCATTTCATTGGGGACTATACATTTAATCTAATATCCCTAGAGCAGTGATTCTAACCTGGGGGCAATTTTGCCCTCATGGGACTTTTGGCAATGTCTAGAGGTGCTACTGGAATATAGCAAGGAGAGGCTAGGGATGCTGCTAAACATCCTATAAATCATAGCTCAGACACTTAAAACAAAATGCCAGTAGCACTACTGTTGAGAAACCATGCTCTAAAAATAAATGACTAAAAAACTTGCACTTAAATGATGAAAACACTTGTTATGGCCAGGCACGGTGGCTCATACCTGTAATCCCAGCACTCTGGGAAGTTAAGGTTGGTGCAGTATTTGAAGTAAGGAGTTCAAGACCAGCCTAGCCAACATGGCAAAACCTCATCTCTACTAAAAATACAAAAATTAATCAGGCATGATGGCATGTGCCCGTGGTCCCAGTTTCTCTGGAGGCTGATGGAGGAGATCGCTTGAACCCTGGAGGTGGAGGTTGCACAGTGAGCTGAGATTGTGCCACTGCTCTCCAGCCTGGGTGACAGAGCAAGACTCTGTCTCCAAAAAAAAAAAAAAAAAAAGCAAAGAAAAGAAAAATAATATGTATTTTGTTCCAGTCCCATTCTATCCCTGAGTTTTTACAACTCTTCTCACTATCAATGAGGCTAAATAACTAAAAAATATAAATAATCCAAAAATTTAAAACTTTCTTAATTATTAACTGGATATAAAGCCTTTTTGGGATAATTACATCTAATTTCATTCTACAATGTACATGCAGATACAATTGCTTGTGATAATAACATTGGTCAAGGAATCAGAAACCCATGAGAAACAACAGAAAACTGAACAAGTTCTAAATTATTACAGATTATGAAATTGTAGTATATAATAGGGTACAGCTGAGCTAGTTTCTAAAATTGTTTGAAACTTTCAAATGTAAGTAAATAAAGCATAAATGTAAAATTTAACTTCCACCATAACAAAATGTCACAAGTTATTTATAGCAGAACCAGAAATAGGACCAAAATTTTCCATGGATGCAAGGGGTTTGTATTGGCCTATGTGATTGGCATTCCTTGTCCATGCTCCAAATCCACTTTGAATGATGCCTTTTTTTTCCCCCAACAACGTTTACTCTGAGAAAAATTCTTGAATCATCAATTACATACTTCTCTCTTAGCTACAGTCTTTTTTAACTAGTAAAATAAACTATATTTTCAAAAGTTTACATTTTTCCCAAAATATTCAAGATGATTATGAAAACTATGGTAGCACAAAATAAAATGCTGCTTGATTGTTACCTGAGAAATTTTAGAAACCAAGTAGCCAATCTGAGTAATTTAAGTACAAAGAAAAGAAAAGAAAAAACAAAACACTTATAGGACATTTTTAGAGGGAGGTGTACTAAATTTCTTTAGGTACAACTATGAAGAACTGTCTTAGGAGGTAATCACTTTATTTTTTCATTTAATTCAGCAAGTAAAGGTCTGATTTCTTATATATTAATGTTTTAAACTGATAATAAGTCATACTGAGAAAAAAATAAATACTCTTCCTGAGTTAATTATCCAAATCTAAAATAAGCACTCTCTGACAAAATAATGAATACACTGTTATGTTAAAATTGATTATTTTATCCATCATGCAATAAATATCTATATGTGATATTTAGTCAACTCAAAGATTTTTTTGTACATCACATAAAAAAGCCTTATTATATAATATGTACCTAGAAGGCTATATTTAAATACAGAAATGTTTTCATTATGTAATATATAAAGTTGATACTATCATATGTTACTTATAGGTTTATAAAAGGTTATTTCAGTAATGTGACACATGTTCATTTTGTCTGTGATACTATTGCTATTCGAAATACTAGTTTATAAGTCTTCTAAAGCCACAGTAACATGTTCATGGGACCAATGATGAGCATCAGTTCAATCATAGAGCACTTTAAAGGTCAAGTTTCAGGGAAAACATTGTCATTTTTGAAGAGTCTATAAAATATGCTCTGAGTTTCTCTATATCTCACTAATATGTTAGAAGTCCTCAGAAGCTTGATGGTTTATGAAGTCTGTCATTTAGTCATATTCAATAATTACATAATACACAATTGTGAGTCTGAAACAATCACTAAAAATATGTTGAGAAGGATTTGATTCTTGCTCTTGATAATGAGTCAGGGTCTCTTTTATAGTATAGTTATCTCTTTAATCTACTGTTAGCATAAAAATTATGAATTAAAAATATTTCTTCTTATTTTTTCTATTTAATTCTTGTTTTAGAGTACTGTCTTTTTAAATTTATATCCAGAGTGCACATTTTATTGCAAAATACTGTTAATATTCATAGATAAATAGAAAACACATACTTAGAAAAAATAATACCCACTGCTGTCTATTATCTACCAAATGTATTTTTATATCTTGAAGGTATAATTCCGTACTTTCTTTTATGACACATTAAAAACCATACTCTAAAAACATGAACTATATACATTTAATATTTTTGTATAATTTTTACACAATTTGGGAATTATATAATAAATTAACAAAAAGTCTCATTAGGTTAATATAATTTTGAGAGGTTTATAAAAATAAAAAGTAAACTCTGTTTATTTTTTGCTTGATTGTTGATTTTCCTTTATATTATAGATCTATATCTTTAGATATAGCAGTTTGGAGTTAAATCATGCACTTTACCAAAAAACAATGTGGCCTAAGCCTTCAAGATTTCTGATCTTGAAGATTAACAACTAAAATACTTAATCCTGGTTCAGTGATATATTTCTGGAATAATATACATTTCCACATAAAATAAAACATTCTTTCTATTCTCTAGCTTGCCAAATATCTTCAGTTTTTATGAGAGGATTATAAAAACTGATTATCAGATTGAAACACTGGAAGTATTTATTAATAATTAATGCTATTGGTATTAATAAATAAGGGTTTGGAACAAATAACCTTGCAAGGAAAGTACACTCTGTGGGACAAGTATTGTTATCACTTACCAGCTCTTCCTGAAGTTGGGAAATGAATTCATCCTTCTCTTTCAGCTGCAGCTTGAGCATCGAGCATTCATCTTTCATTATATCCTATAAAAACATCAAAGAGACGGCAAAATTGGCTTAGCCTTTTTACTTTGCTCTTGATAAGGAAAGTCGGCTTCACACGGTGGGAGATAATTGCATCCGACTAATGAAACTCAAATTCCCTCTACAGTATGATATTTTTCATAACATATTCTTAGTTGTAAAAAATAAGTTAATGCATCCAAAAATGCTATTATGCTATATATAATCATGTATGTACACACACATACAAACACACACGTTTTTGCTTAATTTTTTGTTTTCTTTTTGGTATACCTCTATCCATTTGCCTAGGACAGAAACCAGGAAACTATCCTAAATTATTCCCTCTCACTTTTGTGCATATATAATAAGTAGAATAAAAATAACTCTACATTTAAAAAGATACTGATATGGCTTGGCTTCAAGTTCCCACCCAAATCTCATCTCAAATTGTAATCCCCACATATGGAGGGAGGGACTGGTGGGAAGTAACTGATCATGGGGTGATTTCCCTCACTCTATTCTCAGGTTAGTGAAAAATGTCTCATGAGAGCGGATGGTTTAAAAGTGGCAGTTTCCGCTGAGCACTCTCTCACTCCTGCCACCTTGTGAGGACATGCCTTACTTCCCCTTAGCCTTCCACCATGATTATAGGTTTCCTGAGGCCTCTCCAGTGATGAGAAACTGTGAGTCAATTAAACTCTTTTCTTGTATAAATGATTCAGTCTTAGATTATTTTTTATCACAATGTGAAAAGGGACTAATAAAGAAAATTGGTGCTTGAAGTGGGGCACTGCTATGAAGAAAACCTGAAAATGTGGAAGCGACTTTGGAACTGGGTAATGGGCAGAGGTTGGAACAGTTTGGAGGGCTCAGAAGAAGACAGAGATATGTGGGAAAGTTTGGAGCTTCCTAGAAACTTGGATGGTTTTGATCAAGATGCTGATGGTGATATAGACAACAAAGTCCAGGCTGAGGTGGTCTCAGATGAAGATAAGGAACTTCCTGGGAACTGGAGTAAAGGTCACTATTGCTATGCTTTAGCAAAGAGATTGGTGACATTTTGCCACTGCTCTAGAGATCTGTGAAACTTTGAACTTCAGAGACATGATTTAGGGTATCTGGTGCAAGAAATTTCTAAGCAGCTAAGTATTCAAGGGGTGACCTGGCTGATTCTAAATGCATTCAGTCATATGCATTCAAAAAGACATTATTTGAAAGAGGCACTTTTATTTAAAAGGGAAGCAGAGCATAAAAGTTTGAAAAATTTCATCCTGACCATGTGGTAGAAAAGAAAAACCCATTTTCTGAGGAATAATTCAAGCTGACTGCAGAAAATTGCATAAGTAATGAAGAGCCAAATGTTAGTAACTAAGAAAATGATGAAAATGTCTCCGGGGCATTTCAGAGATATTCACAGCAGCCTTTCCCATCACAGGACTGCAGCGTCTCCCAAAAATGACAGCAGTCTCTCCCATGGTAGGACAGGAAGCATAGGAGAAAAAAATGGTTTTGTGGTCTGGGCCCAGGGCCCTGCTGTTGTGTGTGGCCTTTGGGCTTGGCAGCCCACATCCCAGCTGCTGCAGCTCCAGTCATGGCTAACAGGGGCCAGTGTACAGTCCAGGTCTTGCTTCAGAGGGTATAAGCTCCAAGCATGGTTGGCTTACATGTGGTGTTGGGCCTGTGGGAGCACAGAAGAAAGAGTTGAGATTTGGGAACCTCTGCCTAGATTTCAGAGAATGTATGGAAATGCCTGGATGTCCAGTCAGAAGTCTGTTGCAGGGGTAGAGCCCTTATGGAGAACCTCTGCTAGGGCAGTGTGAAAGGGAAATCTGTGATTGGAGCCCCCACACAGAGTCCCCAATGGGGCACTTCCTAGTGAAGCTGTGAAAAGAGGGTCACTGTTCTCCAGACCCCAGAATCATAGATCCACCAACAGCTTGCACCATGTGCCTGGAAAAGCAACAGGCACTGTATTAGATTGTTTTTGTGCTGCTGATAAACACGTACCCAAGACTGGGAATAAAAAGAGGTTAAATTGAACCTACAGTTTCACATGGCAAGTGAGGCCTCAGAATCATGGTGTGAGGTGCAAGGCATTACTTACGTGACAGCAGCAAGAAAAAATGAGGAAGAAGCAAAAGTGGAAACCCCTGATAAACCCATCAGACCTTGTGAAATTTATTCACTATCATGAGAATAGCATGTAAGACCAGCCCCCATGATTCAACTTACCTCTCCCTGGGTCCCCCCCACACACACACATGGGAATTTTGGGAGATACAATTCAAGTTGAGATTTGGGTAGGGACGCAGCCAAACTATACTGGGCACTCAACACCAGGCTGTGAAAGCAGCCACAGGGGATACACCCCACAGAGCCACAGGGGTGGAGCCACCTAAGGCCATGAGAACCTACCCCTTTCATCAGGATTTCCTGGATGTGAGACACAGAGTCAAACAAGATTTTAGAGCTTTAAGATTTAATGACTGCTCCACCAGGTTTTGGAATCCCATGGGGCCTGTGACCCCTTTGTTTTGGCAGATTCCTCCCATTTGGAATACAAACATTTATCCAATGCCTGTACTTCCATTATATCTTGGAAGTAAATAACTTGCTTTTGATTATACAGGCTCATAGGTGAGAGAGACATGCCTTATCTCAGAAGAGACTTTGTACTTGGACTTTTGAGCTAATGCTGTAATGAGTTAAGACTTTGGGAGACTTTCACGAAGGCAAGATTAGTTTTTAAATGTGAAAAGAACATGAAATTTGGGTGGGGCCCAGGGTGGAATGATATGGTTTGTCTCTGTGACCTCACCCAAATCTCATCTTGAATTGTAATTCCATGTATCACAAGAGGGACCTGGTGGGAGGTGATTGTATCACAGGCATGGTTTCCCCTAGGCTGTTCTGGTAATAGTGAGGGAGTTGTCATGAGATCTGATGGCTTAAAAGTGGCAGTTTCCCGTAAGCTCTCTCTCTTTCCTGCTGCTTTGTGAAGAAGTGCCTTGCTTTCCTTCAGCCATGATTTTAAGTTTCCTTAGGCCTCCCAGCCATGCAGAATTGTGAGTCAATTAAACTTCTTCATTTCATATATTACCCACTCTCAGGTTGTTCTTTATAGTGGTGTGAAAATGAACTAATACAGATACTATATCTACCATTTGTTCCCTGGCTATAATTAAATCAATTGTCATACCAATATCCATATTACAAAGCTCATCTTTAATGATTTCCCTGTTAAAATTGTGCCTTTTACTAGAGCTCAATCTTTGGGCATTTAATCTCCTCACTTTGCAAGTATACCCAACCACAATCTCTATGTACACAATATATCCACCTCCATGGCCTCAACTACTCTATGCTGGCGTGATAGGTAATACTGAGGGTCAGCTTTATTGGGCTAAAGGATACAAAGTATTGATCCAGGGTATGTCTGTGAGGCTGTTGCCTAAGGAGATTAACATTTGAATCAGTGGGCTGGGAAAGGCAGACCCACCCTTAATCTGTGTGGGTACAATCTAATCAGCCGCCAACGTGGCTAGAATATAAGCAAGCAGAAAAATCTGAAAAGAGAGACTGGCCCAGCCTCCCAGCCTACTCCTGGGCTGGATGCTTGTTGTTCTTGAACACTGGATTCCAGTTCTTCAGTTCTAGAATTCAGACTGGCTGTCCTTGCTTCTCAGCCTGCAGATGGCCTATTGTGGCACCTTGTGATCATGTGAGTTAATACTTAATAAACTCCCCTTTATATATATATATATATATATATATATATATATATTCCATGAGTTCTATCCCTCTAAAGAACCCCTGACTAATACAGCTTGTAACTACCAGATACAACTAGTTAATCCAGAATTATCTGTATTCCAAGCTCCAGCTCTTAAGTACAACTACTCACTAAACATATACTCAACACTGTTCCACAGACACTCCAACTCAACATCTTCCTTCCCCACTTTGAGACATCACTTCTGCTGATTTCCCCATTATCTTCCTATTTCCTAAAATAGCAATCAGGAAGCCATCATATAAGTTCAACTGCTACTCACTTTGAAGCCAATCTGAAATCAAATTTAATCTCTACTTCTTTAGTATTTCTTGGACTTACTACCCTCTATTCCACATTGTCTAAGTACTTGTTGCTTTTTACCTAAATTTCTGTAATTGCTTCTTGTCTCTAAAGTGATTTTTCCTCTCTCTATCTCTATTGCTTTCCCTACTTGCCAGAGATTTTCCTTAGTAGGAATTAAATTTATTACTTCCTAATTTAACAGTGAATCATCATCTCCTCCTTCAGAAAGAAATTCAAAACTCTTCAACATAGCATATTACACCCCTGATTATCTGTTACTTGCTTATTTCTGGAGCTTGAAAGTTTTTGACTTTCAACCTCCTCACAACATTGTTCACTCTTACAGAACTGAAATGCATGTTGTTTCACCTCTACTCACTTTACACATGCAAATTTCTGGATTTTATTGCCTTCTACCCATTGTATCCTTCTCTCCCTCATAATACCTCATGCTCTAAGACACATCACAAGAATTACTGTTTATTTTACTAGAAAGATTCCTGCTTTTGGCTAGTAACACATCCCTTTGGGGATGTTCCATAGAATCCATACCATATATCATTTCATGGAACACTTAAAAGTGTTTTTTGCTTTTTCTCCAGCCTCATGAACTAAAAAATAGTTTTATTCCCTATTTGAGCATATAGTTTCTATTTCATTAGCATGTTATTAGCACCAAACATAATAACTCACACACATAATATACTCAGATTTGCCTGGGCACGGTGGCTCTTGCTTATAACCCTGGTACTTTGGGAGGCCAAGGCAGGATAATCACTTGAGCCCAGGGCTTCAAGACTAGTCTGGGTAACAGAGTGAAACACCATCTCTATTTGAAAAAAAGAAGATGCTCAAATTCATGTTTCCTTCCAATAGAATTACTAAATAAGCAGTATAAACATTAGCAGTATATCCATTTTCCCTGAAATCTGCACCCTCA